GAGCAGCACGGAGCCGCGGTTCAACACGAGGAGCTGGTTGTTGTGGGAGAAAAGGGGACAAACAAGTGTCAGCGCCATGGTGGTGTTCAACGGGCAGCTGAGGATCAAGATCTGCGAGGCGCTCCACCTCAAGCCCACCGCCTGGTCCCTGCGTCACGCCGTCGGCCCCAAGACGCAGACCTTCCTCCTGGACACGTACATCGCCCTGAACGTGGACGACTCGCGCGTGGGCCAGACGTGCACGAAGCAGAAGACCAACAGTCCCGCGTGGAACGACGAGTTCGTCACTGACGTGCACGACGGGCGCACGGTCGAGCTGTCCGTGTTCCACGACGCGCCCATCGGCTACGACGACTTCGTGGCCAACTGCATCATCCAGCTGGAGGACATCCTGCACAACGACAGCAAGCACTTCGAGGACTGGGTGAGACAGACACACACACACACACACACACACACACACACACACACACACACACACACACTCTTCATATGTCTTTATTGTTAAAACATCAGTACAGGGCCGGTCCACATCTGTATGGGGCCTCGTGCAGAATCAGATTCAGGCCCCCCCTCACATCCATCATGGAGATATTTTTCCGCAGCAGTTGTGTTGGTGTCATGAGCTGCGTTCAGATCTTCTCTGAAGTCCGGTGAAATGTTTTGGAGACTCTGGACGGGAAGAACGTAAAATGTCCGAGTGAGAATACGGCACAAACCTGATGAGGTTTCTAACACGCGACGGACGCGAAACTGGAAGAACTCGAATCTCTCAGGATGAAGACGAGGAGCCGTACACGTAGAAGACGAAGACGTCCACTTGGAAAGACGAGGAGGTTCCAGATGTTTTGGTGATGAGGGCCGACGCCGGTGTGGACGAGCTGTAAACAACAACACTGATCTTTACACAGCAGAGTTTAAACGTCATGACCCGCCTCCTGCTGCTCTACAGGCTCCGCCCCTCGCCTGAATGTCCCCCACATGTTCCTGTTGTTGCGAACGAGTCGGACGATCCGCTGCTGCTTCACAGACACCAACTACAGCTTCTTAATCTCCAGGTTAAATAAAGTTTAAAGAATCTGAGATGGAGACTTGACGCGGTGCGTTGGACCTCAGTCATAGTTTGTAGTTGAAGGTTCGTCGTTGGATGAGAAGGTGGTGGGAGGAGCCAGCGTCTGTCACGTTCCTCATCACAGAAGTTTGTAAGAAGACAAATCAATCCGACGTGTTTTAGTCGAGACGCGTTGTCGTCGTCTTCCTTCCGTCAAGTCAGTCAGCGTTGTTTCTGCTGCAGCCTCATGTCTGTCCGGCTGCTCCGTGTTAAGATGCAGGAGCTTCAGCATCCAGAGGTGAAGTGTCCTCGTTGTCACACAGTGACTCTGTTGACTGATCAGTCTGGTTTTCAGTTTATATTATAAAAAAAACTTTTCTAAAGTTGTTTTCACACCATGTTACTAATCTGAGCAGTTGAGAAGCTCAAACCAGGAAATGTTTTGAAAAGTGAAAAACATTTTGAGTGACGACACGCCGACGTCAGACGAACGCCGTCCACAAAGTCATATTTAAGTGAATGAAATTAACACCGTCTTTCATTTTACATTAATGTGCACACACACACACACACACACACACACACACACACACACACACACACACACACACAGTATAGATCCTTTTACCTTTGTTGTTCTCTTGTTAGCTGAACCACTGACCCACAGCAGCATTACAAAGGAATGGATGGTGTGTGTGTGTGTGTGTGTGTGTGTGTGTGTGTGTGTGTGTGTGTGTGTGTGTGTGTGTGTGTGTGTGTGTGTGGGCACATGCATGATACACTCGGCAGCATAAAGAAGCAGTTCATTGTTGTCTGAAGCCGCTGGAGCAGATGAATATTTGAGTGTTTTATTGATGAGGCCATCAGGTCCATTAGAGGCAGATGCAGGGAGAGAGGGGAGAAGATGAAAGAGAGGAAGTTGATGATGATGAAACAGGAGGAGGAGAAGACGGAGAAAAGAACGCTCGTCTTTCAGCGTATTCGTGTGACGCTCCACGTGTTCTGACAGTGAAGACTCAGCTCTGGACTTTAGCAAGAAGATGAAAGCGACTTAGCGTCTGGCTTTGATGATCTGGTGTCGAGGTTAAGTCACAGTTCTGATCTGCGTTAGCGTCCTCCAACAGATCCTGTGTGATTTCAGAACGCTGAGTCGACAACTTCAAGGTGTCTCGTTGATTTAAAGTCACCGGTGTCTCGCTCTAATCCTGTTTCATCCTCTGGAATGAAAATAATTTTTGATCCGTCTCCGCCGGGCGTTTCGAGCTGTTCCCATGGGCACTGCGGGCTGAACGTGTCTTGACTCAAGCCGTGTCATGTGTTATGTAATCTCAGACAAAGAAAGAGTTGACATCACCTTTACCGAACTGAACGCCCCGTGTAGTTCCCCAGTGAGTAATGCTAACGTAAGCTGCTGAGGAGAGTGTGTGCATCGGCGGGTTTTATTTGAGAACAAGCGGCTGCCGAAGCTCGACGACGACGACCTGTTGATGCAGGACATTCCTGGATGTTTCATGGACTCCGGCATGCATGAAACATTGGGAAAATACCAACATGTGGAATGGAGGGCAGTTGTCTTCATGGTGATTAACGGTGGGAAAAGCAAAGTCAGGCTGGTTTAGCTCATTAAGAACTAACGCTCTGAATAAAAAACCTCAACGCGGCTTAAAAACACCTGAAACCTGAAGTGTGTTTACGAAAAACTTGATTAAACATTTAAGCTTTCCTTGTAAATCACTGCCTTTTCCTTAACTTTGAGAATATTCTTTTAATAAACTCAGTGGTGAAAACAGCAGCATCAGTTGGATATTTCAGCCGAGAGCGTGTGAACAGAAACTTTTAACCCGAGTTGTGACAAGTACCTGGTTATTAAAAGAAAACTAAATGTCATTGTTCTGCTGCAAGTGTGAACACGAACCGTCAACAATCGCCGTCAGCAGAAAATGATCCCTGCTGAATTGTGATGAGTACACAAAGCACACACACACACACACACACACACACACACACAGTCGTATCAGTGAATCCACATGTAGGCGTAAAGAAAAAAATGCTACGACCTGAAAACTGTTGCCTCGCCCGTTCTCTGTCTGGAGAGAGATTCTGCACGATCATGCGTTTGTTGTGTCTTTGGTTCTCACAACTCTTTGAATCAGTTCTCAATACTTTCATTGTATTCATACTGAGGATAACATCAAGTATCACATTCCTTCACGAATAAGTCAGATTTGTAATCAGCTCGTTTCTACTTTGAGTGAAAATCAGATATTGTCACAACACTGATCAGGAAAAAGGTTTGATTGAAACTCTGCTCATAGGAAAATTATAGAAATAGAACCTGACTGATTTTTGGGAGCTGATGCTGATAAGTGATGAATCAGTCTGTAATTATTAAAGCTCTGTTTCTATCCCCCACTTGAAAACTGATGTTTATTAAATCCATCAATAAAAACCACAAACAGGAAAAGTGTTCACTAATTAAATAATAACCACCAAGAAGCAAATAACAGGATTTAAAAAAAAGCATAATTGACTATGAAAAGTTAAAACCTAGAAGCTACAAGTCTGAGAGAGATTGGTAGATAAAAAAATAACACATCTCTTTGTTTGGTCTTCACAGAGACTTTACTGAGTTCATTTCATTTCACTCAGTAAAGTCTCTTGTGCTGAGGTCGTGCTTGTGGTTTCCAGTCACACTCTGATTCTGGTCGTCCGGCTGCGACTGAGAGAAACAGAGAAGAAGAATTAAAAATCCATCTGACGTGAAAAAGGATCAGATTCCTGAATCTTTAAAGGAATTTCTTCTCGGCTCAGAACAGTGATTTCATGTGTGGGCAGCCGCCTTGTTAGAATATGTCATGGAAGACGTGGAGGAAACAAGTGTTTGATTTTACTACAGGACGGACAGCGAGGGAGGGAGGGAGGGAGGGAGGGAGGGGAGTGGGAGACAGAGAGGGCGTTGAAGAGAGATGTCTGGGTCTGAATGGTGGAGTGACTGGGGCGGGGGGGCAGTGTTTGATCTCTTATAAATGTGCATTCATTAAATCAAAGCTTGTTTCCAATGTTCACTGCAGAGAAAGGAATTCTGGGATTATCACTTTTTCCGTTTCTGTAAATGTTTTGTCGTCGGATAAACGACTCTGGAGTTTGAAAGTGTCGACGGACGGACGAGTAGAAATGAAGCTGGGTCCAGTTCTGTAGCTGTTCCTTCTCCAAGAGGAGCTCAGGAACAGAGGGGTTGATGTTGGTGAAATGATTTGACGCCTGGAGAGCAACACTCACACTGCAGCTCCTGTTTTCATTATTATTACACCGACAAACCTGGAATCAAATCCCTGCAACAACCAGCGTCGTCTCACTCTACATCCACTCCTCTTCCAGACTCGTGTGAGGTCACTGTGACCGGTCGCCGTGGTGATCCTGATATATATCACGTCCACAGGAACATGACGTGACCTTTACCGTTGATCACAATCAATTCATCCTTGAGTCCAAATATTTATATCAATATATTCGACTCCAGTGCTTTTAGTAAACCATAAAACAAATGTCACATATTCCACATGTTGTTGGTGTGAACTCGACGGTAACACAGAGACAAAAACGAAATAATTGGCTGAGTTCAGAAAAAGTCTGAACTCCGATGATTAATCTGCGTTCGAGTTCTTCAGAGTGAGTGGTCCCACACATCCAGAACTTCCCCGTCGACACACACCACCCACTCAGCTGAACATGAGACGGTGCTTCACGTAATTGATTTTTTAAAAAGAGCTGAAACACACTGAGTGGATCAACAGCGCAGATGTTTTCATCTCTGTCTCCTCCGTGTTGTTCAGGTTGTTTCAGAGTCACTGTGTCAGGTGTGTGTGTGTGTGTGTGTGTGTGTGTGTGTGTGTGTGTGTGTGTGTGTGTGTGTGTGTGTGTGTGTGTGTGTGTGTGTGTGTGTGTGTGT